TGTAAGGTGGCGGAAATTCGGTCATAAACATACGTCATATAAATAATACAGACACACATATTAAATTATATAAAATATAAATGGTTAATAAAAAAATATTTTAGTGTTAAAAAAACAAGATGCAAATGTAACAGATGTCAACCAGAACGTTACATAACGTTGCTTTTAAAGCGTGATAGAGGCGCTGGCGATCTGATTGACAGTTCCACTGTTTGGCTCATGGCCACTACCAGAGCCGCTCTGGCCACTACATACTGACGGCCTCGAGTTCTAATCTCAGGTGACGGAATGAACAGCGATTACCGCCCTCGTTTGGAGAGTCATGTTATTATTTCACAAAACAAGTTGGACAACTAAAATAAAATATTTAAAAAAATATTTTATAATTTTTTTTTTTTCTTTTTTTTCTTCTTTGGGCCAGTTCAAATGGTGAGGTGCAGAGAGGTGGAGGGCCGGTCAAAGGGGCGTGGCGGGCCGTATGCGGCCCGCGGGCCGTAGTCTGGGGAACCCTGCACTAGAGGGAAGGGAAAACCCCAAACGGCATAATATGGTCTCTTTAAACTCTCTCTTTCAGACAGAGATAGAAGACACACTGAAATAAAAAAATAAAAATCTCCCAGCAGCTTGAAAATACAAATCAATGCCAATGCTGATTGGCCCAATGAGCTATGACAGAGGAAGCTGATTGGATCAGGACCAGTGATGCGCCTCAGGCAATCTTTGGAGTGTGTGTGCTTGGGCGTAAGTGTGTGTGTGTTATTGTAAGTGAAGTTCCCTGTAATACCTTGTTTATAGATTTTACATCCTCTGTTTCCCTCCCTCATTATTAGCTTCATTTGTTGTGCTAAGATAGGGACTATTTGTTGTGTACCTGTCATATTTACACCCATGCAAAGGTTGTTTAAAACATATATTTTCTATTGCTACCATTAGAAACCACCTTGGGACTGTACTATTGTTTATATATAATAGCAAAATATGAAACATAACTACATTTACCATAGTGAAACATGTGAAATTATCAGGTGAAATGTTGCCAATAGAGGTTAACATTGTGAAAAGGACCCCGTTTCTGAAAATCCGTTCTATTTTCACAACAATGTGATGAAATCATGATGAAATACTAATAATGCCAGTTTAAATATTGTATATGCTGTAAAATATGTGTACAATCAAGTTTTTTGTCAAAGAAATCTAACAATGTTATTAATTAAACTATTACTTTAACTTTATTACTTGTTTTATTTGTAGCTTACTAAAAAAGTGGATGTAATATAAAGCCTCGCGGATAAATCACAAAGACAACAAATATATAAACAAGATTGACACTTGAAACATATGAATTTTTAACCTTTTTGCATGGCAGTTATGCATTATGCTCCTTTGTTGAAGAGCACTTCAGATCTACCACAACTGAGATAAATGTTGTGTTAAGGCCATTTGTATGTTTGACAGATCAGCGGGGGACAATACAGCATTAAAGAATGATCCAACAAAGAAGAATGGTTCAGTCTAGATATACCTTATATTCTATATGTCATAGTAAAGGTGTATGTGTGTGTGTGTGTGTGTGTGTGTGTGTGTGTGTGTGTGTGTGTGTGTGTATGTGTGTATGTGTGTATGTATGTGTGTGTGTGTGTGTGTGTGTTGAACTTACAGGCAATGCACCACCGTCCTGCCGTCTCCTCCGTCATACTGCTCTTGCCACTTTGCGAGCCTTCTCACCAATTGGAGGATGGAGCGTTTGGAGAGAGGCGTGTCCCTGTAGGCTGGCCAGCCAATGAACTGAAAGTGCTGCACCAGGCGGTAACCGTCCTGAGGCTGGAGAGAGAGGTGGGGAGATTAGGATTCTAGCTGTGAACCACACAACTCCCAATGTGTTAGCACACGCAGTTGTGCGCCAATTAGTTCTTCTTTCTGCCATCTGAAAATAACGACGTCTAGACTGAACAAAGAAGACGTCTTATGATGTGTAATTACATTTCATGGCAGACAAAATGTTTCCAGTTGTCTGGCCTCGAGGTGGTTGGCATCCACCACCCAAAAAACCAAAACCCGCCATCATGTCAGAGTGATTTACCGGTAGGATGTGATATTTACACACTCAAACAGATACAGCTGTATCAGTTTCCTCTCTTCCCTTCCTTCTCTACCTTTATCCTTTTACTTCCTCTTACTCTACACTTTCTACGTCTCCCCTTCTAATCAATTCCTACTTTTGTTTCACTTAACTCTATTTTTCCTTCACCCAATTCCCTCCTTCGTCGCATTCACTCACTCTACTTTCCTTCCCCTCCTGACTGTTTCCCCTCCTTTATACATTTCCCTCTCTCAAAGCTTGTTGCCGTCCTGCTCTCTCTGACTCTCCCTCCTCATTGATGGCTTAGTGGTTGGGGGTACAGACTGGGCTAGGTGGTAGCTGCTCTCACTGTGTGAGAAGTGCTGTTGTGGCGATGATATGAGCCATTTCACGCTACACTGGTGACGTGTTTGAGAGGGGGAGAGAGTGAGAGAGGGAATATAGAGGAGAGTAGGGTAGTGGGGAGTTCACTAAGCGCTATAGGAGCATGCAGACGATGGGGCACTGCGAGTTGTACCGTCATGGATGGGTGAGGCAATGAGATGAGAAGGGAGTAACAAGAGGAGGCAAGAGGGGCAGAAAGAGAAGGGAAAGGGAAGCTGAGAGGGGAAGTGAGGGAAGGGAAAGCAGAGGTGAGAAAAGACAAGAGGAGAGGACAGTTTATTTGAAATGTTCTGTTGTATTGCACCACTTCCTACCGCACTGCCGTTTTCTCTAGAGTTCCCCCTAAACTAAGACTGTTGCTACAGTGTGTTCGCGTTGTGGTCGGTTTGCTACGGCATCATCTAGCCTGCTGCTCATGGGGAAGTAAAGGTCACACAAAATGAAAAATGTCTTTTAAGTGTTGTTATATTTTGTTCCTCGTGTATCGCTTCACTATCTATTGTTATATGTCAAATATAGGTCAGGAAATACATCATTTTGAGGGTTTTTATCTGAAGCATAGGCAGTTTAAGACAGAAAATAAGGGAGAACAGAAGAGAGGGTCAGAGTTAACTGCAGGCTTTGACTAGAGCTGGTTGCAGTTACAGAAAGGTCTTTCGCCCAAAATGTGATTAAGAAGAATACATTTCTTGATTAATTAATTCAGAACATGTTCCAGGATCGATTGAGGACCTCTTAAGACAAGGATAGCAATAAAAAAAAATGCTGCTTTTTGTTCATTTAATTCTTCATTTCTGGTTTGCCCTCCAAAAGAACCATGTGTGTTCTCTAAGTCATTGTTTAAGCCTGCTGCTGGTTTACAGTTAGGTTAGGGTTGGAGTTAATGCCAAAAAAGAGCGAGTTAGTACCCTGGCCATGTTGCAGATCCTGAAGATTCGGTTGATGATGTCTTCATCAATGTCTGCTGATATGAATTCCACTTGAATGGGACCGTAGCAACATGAGCTCTTTTCTGGCCAGTACTGCATACATAACTGTAGAAAACAAAGAAAAAAAGAGAAGGAAATGTAAAGAGAAAGATTGAGTAAAAAAGGAACATTTACCAGCTATATTAAACACTTTTTAATTTCAAAAAGCATAACAGTACAAGTAATAATTGGAAACACAATTTTTCAGGAAACTTTGAATTACTTCTCATCATTGATTGCGAAGATTGTCACCTGGATGGATGTGAGTTCAATTTCAAATGATTTATACTTCCACACAAAGGACTGACAAATGATTCCTTGTATTCTATGCAGAATAAAAATGTTGTTTAACAAGGTTTCATTTACTGGTATTCAATTTAAATTCCCAAACCAATTTACGATCACCACTGGGGGAGATAAGGTAACTCAATCTCCTTGGTTAGAATATACAAATAGCTCCTCAATGAAATCACCATGAATACAAATACTTTGTAAAAGAAAATGTGACGATTAGATATCACCTCCCCAGTTGTTAAGTTACAGTGCGGCAACATTATTCTTTATTTCTATGTTTTGGTGAATATTTGTGAAATCTATGGACACTTATTATAAGTGGTTATTTGTTTTTAATTGGTTTGGTACAAAACTTTAACTGAACCCTTCAAAGTTGGCAGAGTATAATTCCAAGGACCTTAAATATCATTTCAAATTCATAAAAATAGTCTTGGGGTGTATTGATCAGGCCGCCGTGCAACAGTCAATGTATCAGCTCCTGGCTGAACAGTCTTCTCTGAAAGCAGTGAAAAACAGACGGGAAAAAGCCTTCATGAGTATCTGTGTGTGCGTGTTTGTGTGTTTCTACCTGCGCTGCGTCCATCTCATTGAGCATTACGATGGATGAGCAATTGTAGTCGAACACCAGCCTCCAGAAGTCGCCCATGGTGTTTGGCAAAGGATGCTGGGTAACAATGAAGGCCGCTGGCTGTTTGTGGCTCTGTGGTGATGAGAATGAACACAAATTAATAACTCAGACAAGTGAACAGAGCAATGCTCATATATCGAGACATCTCTGCAGCAGTAAAAGATGAAACTATGATTATAAATGACACACACATTCACATCGGAGAACGTACACTTACGTCCATTAACGCAGCGTTGATGTAATTGGAGCTCTCTCCGTCCACAGATATGAGGAAAGGCAGGCATCGGTCTGCTGATAGAACGTCCATACTGCGGTTCTTGTCGTGGTTCCTGGGTAGCAAGCCAACACTGCAGTCCTCTGGACGCACTCTGGGGGTCACGATGTTCAGAGTCTGATGGACAGGAAATATGTTGATTAGTCCTACTTTAACATTTACATTCTAAAAACATAGCATGCAGATTGAGTAATACTAGTTTTACGTCCTCAGGCCAAAATTCAGATTGACCAGAACTTTGTTTAGGTGTTTTTGGAACAACCATCGCCTACTACTACCATACTACATTGAATTTTAACAACAAATCCAACAGGAACTTAAATGGAGGAAGAAGATCACCAGGAGAAAGTCATTTTTGGACCAAATCGATTAATTAACGATCCAAGATTCATAGATGTTGCTACTGACGGAAAGACCAGGCTCATCCCCGTGATGGAGGTTGAAGATTTCAAGTTGACTAAGTGGTCAACAATGGATGATTCAACTCATCGACTTACAGGGACCATCCCCCAAAATACCATTAAGAATACTTACAAATGTACCTGTTTGCCAGGCTGACAACCGGCTCAATACAAATGTGATAAAACAACTAAACATCTTGTTTTTATGTCATGGAAACATTAACGCTGAGGTCTCCGATTCATTCCTGGTAGTCCAGTCCTTACTAACAACCAAAACCAGAGTGTGACTGAATGTGTGTTCTTACCTGGAACTCATCTTTCATCTGGCTGGAGTTGGTCTGTGGGTCCAGTCTGCTGATGTTGTAGTAAATGGCTCTGAACTCACACACTGGTATGGCTGTATTCCCACATAGACACGCCTCCAAGATGGCATCATGAACGAACACGTACTGCTCCTGCAACAGGAGTCACAGCAGTTTGAGTAAAGAAGTGCTCGAGTCAATGTTTCTTTCAAGGAAAATGGACAAATATCTGGCCTTTCTGAGTAGACAGAGGATTGACTGTAGTTTCTCTGAATGGCTGCTAGTATTGACACCTTGGGGATAGAGGAAGCTGCATTTGCTTCCTTCCAAGTCGCCGACAAAGTCCACTGTTTTTGTTTGCTTTGTTTGTGTCTGTGTGTGTGTGAATTAATTACTTGTGTAATTATGCTCTCTCGACAGCCTGAAAGTGAATTCAAAGGGAGAAGTGCCCTGCAGTGTTTCTGTGCTTTGGATCAAGTGTGCTCTTTGTGCTCCATCTAGCTCACTGATAAAAGCATTAGCCACGGTGAGCTCAGCCACAGTGCATGTTAAATACCTCTATCTCTCACACTATCCTTCCAATTTGTCTAGATTTTGATCACTTTTAATTTCTCTTCCCCCCCTTTTTTTTTCTCCTATTTTCTCTCACCCTTGTGTTTGTCTGCTGTCTCTCGCTTTTTCAATTAGCTTTTTTGCCTCATACATCGGGCTCTCGCTCTGTCGAATGTTAATTGTTCCCCTTGGAGCGGGGAGGAGAGTTTAAAAGCATCATGAAATGTGCTCTCCTGGCCATTACCTACTCTAGTGACATACACACACACATGCACAAAAAACACCACCACACTCACCGACTGAAGCATTCATTCACGCACGCACGCACGCACGCACGCACGCACGCACGCACGCACGCACGCACGCACACACACACACACACACACACACACACACACACACACACACACACACACACACACACACACAAAGATCTAGCACTCACACACAAGTAGAAATACCACGGTGTAGGAATACTCTGTTAAAAATAAAGATCCTGCATTAAATATGTTCAAGTAAAAGTACAAACGTATAAGCATCAAAATATACTTAAAGTACCAAAAGAAAAGTACTCATTCTGCAGATTGGTCCATTTTTAGAATAATATAAATGATTATGTTTTGCATTAAAGTGTTCTCAAAGCTGGTAAAGGTGCAGCTAGTTTGACTGACTTTGTATACTGCAGGGTAGCTTGTGAATTTACTCCAGGTCGAACTAAAGTCTGATTTAACACTTGATTAGATTTCACATCATTCATCCACATCTTTAAAGTAACTAAAGGTATTATATAAATGTTGTGAAGTAAAAGTACACGATCTACCTCTGAATTGTAGTGGAGAATCTCATTAACCATGTACGGTACACACCATCTGTGTACAAGTCTTAGAATAATACATGAGAGAGCGGCAGAGATATCACAAACAAGCCGTTGTTAATTGTAAGTTGTCCCCAGGGGTCACGGACGCCCCCCGTCAGATACGCCCAGACGTCATAGGACGTGATAGTCCACAACGCTGTCCAGGTGGAGTACGTCCTACATACGGACGGCACGTGACCTAGAGTCGGTCTATTGACGTCGTGTGTCTTTGTGGTGGTGCAGGTTTATAATGATTCATCGATGTTGCTTGTAATGAAGATTGATAGAAATAGTTACAACGAAAATCCCACTCATCAGTGGAGAAAGGTAATTTGCACCCGTTCAGTTTCACGTTGTGTATATAAGTCAACACTTTATTCTTACATTTTCGTTAACGACTTAGGGGAAGAGGGTAAGTACGCCTTGTAGATTGAAACACTAACTATCATTATCCATATGTAGACGATATTGTATAGTTTTTCAGTTATATACTAGACCACTACCTAACTTTTTTAAGGATCTTATTTAATTTTCTCTTAATTTTACCGTTTACCCCCAAAACTGACCCGAGAACTTGCTCCATGCTGTGGTAGGCGATTGGTCTCGTGTAATCAACGACAGACTGCATTATTTTACGATCTTTTCACTATAACAGATTCGCTTACAATGAAAACTAAAATAATTATATAAATAGATAGATATTAAGTTTTAGTCCTAAAAACTAATAATTATGATACGACAGTTCCTTTTGTACAGGTAGTTGACCAATTATAGCTTTTTAGGACCATTTTACTAGCCTTACACCTTCGCCTGTCAACTACATTGCACGGGGGCGGCACCCATGTGGTTTTCCCAGTCAGTTCCACCTAAATGATCAAACACAAAGTCAAGTGGTACTGTAAAGATAGGGAACGTAAAAGTAACACATCTCCCGGTCGAACTTAGTATTTCAAAAGGTCAATCTTAAAAGAAATGAGGGGTTGGGCACTCCGCGGGGAGCCGGAATTTACTTAACGTTACCATCACAAAACAAGCACTTACTTCCTTGCGTGCCACTTTTCTCACACCTACGTTGGCTGCCGAGCCAAAAGTAGTACTCGACGTGGCGTGACCCAAATAATTTAGTCGAAGGTCGATTAAGGGTTAGGGAACTTTTACTTACAAAGCGAAGTTGAGGTAAAGTAGTGGATATAAATAATAGTTAAGTAAACTGAGAACGTGGAATGGAGGATATGACAGTATCAATTGTATAAAAACTGTGTAAGGGTTGGCCGACGGAGCACAGGTATTACAAGTAATTTCGATGACAGGGGGGGTTTGGTTTAGTAGTTTACTTGTCCTGTAATAAATCAGGAAGACTGTGGATTCCATACTAACAACATAACAAGTGTCACCACAATTCTTGATACTTGTACATATTTCATCAATGAATTGAGTCACAAACTCGTATGAATTAACCTTATAAATGTAAAAACGGTAGAAGATGAGGTTGTAAATATATTATGGAAATCAATGAAATTTCTACACCTACTTACTACACGTTAGATAGTTCCACAATTTAGTCTGA